ATGCAAAGGGTGTATTAAATTAGCAGCAGCCCAGACGCCCTGGAAGATCTTCCAGCACCTGCATCTATCTCTCATTGACTCATCTTCCCTCACTCATCAGTATTCCCACACAAGAGAGCATCTCTGTTTGGGTGTTCTCCCTTCTGTCTCTCCTCAGGCTGATGTGGAGGACAGTGAACAAAAGTGGAACACAATCAGTACTGAGCAGCTGCTGGCATCCTGACCCCCAACCCACCCAACCCCTCTGTCTCCCACTCCCTCGCTCAGACACACACACAAAGCCTTGAAAATGACCACATAACCTTCACCAAACTGGGAATCTCCCTAGGCAACTGAGGGAGTTCTTCTCCAGTGGGACTGTATTCCAGTAAATCATCGGTGTCATGAGCTTACATGCACACACATTCACCTACTTCAAGTCTTTCAAATGTGCTCACAGTCTCTGAGCTCAACTTTTCATGAATATAGATAGATAGATAGATAGATAGATAGATAGATAGATAAAGAGCGCGTCATCTGGATGTCACAGAAAGTCAAGCAGAAGTCAGGTGACAGCTTCCTCGAAAAGAATATACCAAACACAGTATCATCTGCAATAATGAAAAATACAGAATCTATTTTGACTCAAAATATCAATTTCGTACATTATATATTTCTTTATAGGAGTTATAAGAGCAACATTTGTGAACAAACAAATGTCAATGACTTTAAACATTGTACTCATATAAATATATATAAATAATCATATTTTGTGTGCACTCTATACACACAACATAAATACAATAATTAAAAATAAATAAATAAAGTCGAAAAAGAATTCAATGGCATAGTGATTGCTAGGCTACTGGATGAAAACACTAACTTGGAAATGTGACTTTGCCTTTAAAGACCAGTAGATGGCAATCTTACCTCATTATGGGTGTACACATATTTGACGCAGCTCCTTGCTTATATTTTCTATTTTTCTCACCACCATTCTTACTCTACCTGTATAGAGTGGCAGTGGCAGTGAAGTCCTTCCCTGAAGAAGCCGTCCCTTCAGTAAACCTGCTCTGACACGCCTAAGCACAGTCTCAAACAATCTTTCATTGCTACAAAAATATAAACGTTTCAAATAAAATGCTTGTGTTAAATTAAAATAGCTTAATAACTAATAAAAAATAATCATGATAATTTCAATGTCTAATGGGTTTTACAACATTTAAATAAATCCAGAAATCCAGTGTTTCATTGCATAATGTCTCTGTTGTTTACTTGAGCTTTACTGGGCGGTGTGTGAGTTGGAGGAAGAGCTGCTCTGACACCTCAATAAGTCATACATTTTGAGGCCAATGTGCTGAAGTTTTCCGGGTCTTAGTTAGGGAAAGAGGACGAAACATCTACATTTTCAACGCCCATAATTCGTTATATGGGTCAGATAACTGGATTTTATCGAGCTGTTTTGCTAATCGAGGGCGGTCACTGCTGCATAACACAAAAACAAACGTGTAATTTTCGCTTCATTTAGGGACAGAAAGGCTTGTTTTTACTACGTTTTTATTTTATTTTAAGAGCTCATATCGCATGTTAATGGTGATTAAATTATTGATACCACGATGGCAGTGAAGGTAAGTTTTGGCACAACACTGGGATAAACACTACTAATTAAATGACTGTGGCGCATTTGTCTCATACGAACTACAGCCAAACCATAATTCATGTTGCATCGTTGCACGTTGTAGACAAAGTTCATCAGTGTACTTTATTAATGGACTGTATTTTTAAGTAAAATTACCACCCGATAAAATAGGTTGTATTACAACAAGAGTTGTATTTCTATGAAACGAATTCTAACAAAATGTTCATTAGTTTAGCAAGAGATTATTTATAGGTGATTTCACTAGTGATTTGAACTGTATCATACACTGCTGTACACTGTTTGCAAAACCAGTACTGATGCCCTATTCCTAAACGAATTCTATTGAGTCAGGCCTTATCAATGAATCATTTGAACCGGTTCGGTCAATTCATTCAATGACTGACCGGTTCTTGAGTCAAGAAAACATTGACACGTCCAGCTTGTAGTGCTCGAATCGAGGATTTGATTAATGAAGTGAAAAAGTTACTTCAGTATCAGAAATATGTACTGGTAAATATGTAATGTAGCCTACAACATAAGTGTGTGGCAAGTTTATGAACACAGAATAGCATTTAAATGTGCAAAAATGTTTCAGGCAACAGTAAATAGATTAGAAGGACTGTTATTTAATGTTAATCCATTCTATTTAGGTTCTAAATGAATTAAGCTCTGAACTAAACTGGGACAAACGAAACTAGAATTATGAATGTAGTAGTAAGTGATAGAGTAAGTTTACTTTTTGGAACTGTTATGTATTTATTTATTTTACAGCATGTATACAACACCAGGGTGTCAGGGAACACGTGTTAAGTTAATTATGTCACAATGTACAGGAATTGCAGGAATCTTTATTATTATTATTATTATTATATAGAGAGATTATTAAATTTAAGTATAGAGCATTTTCAAAACTATTAATACAGGATTCCAAACTGAACACACAGCGAGTTGTTCTTTCAGAACCTGCTGTTCTGCTTTTTGTGGTGTAGGCCTATATGTTTCTACACAGTAAACAAAAAAATAGATTATTGTGACGTTATAAGAACATGTTCAATCAGAAACTTTAAATGATACTGTAAACATTTTGAAAAGAGTATGTACTTGCACTAGTTCATTGAGCAGTTCTATTGTTTACTACTGTACTCTGCTGCATAGCTGCTCTTCTTAATGAAATGATCTGAATTGATATTGTAGTTGACCTTTTCAGATTGAGGTTAGAGTAATTTAGTCTCTGTTTATCACAGAGTATAATGTAAAAAGATTTTATTTGACATTTATTTGTATAAGACTTTATTTGAAGCTTCAATTTTCCTCCTCCTGATGTCCACTTTTTTTAATGGGGCCCATGCCCACATTCCTTGGCATTTCTGATGGGCTCTTGTGCACAAAATAATTGATTGGTACCTCTCACTTTCAGTCTTTCCTGCTCTGTGTTGACTTTGCAAATCGAAACACACATTTTGAAAGTTTATTGTAGACACTCGGTGGTTAGAGTATAAGATAAATTGGCATTATTGTAACACATATTCATTCATAATTTTGAAACTTTACAAAAGCACAAAATAATCATACATGGGGGAAAAGTATGATTTGACAATAACCATAAAGATCAGTTAGATTAAATGATTAAAATAGTTAAATTGGTTACATTTAAAAAAGAGAAAGAGAGACAGCAGATGCAAATGAAAATTTTAGCTAATTGTATTATGAAAGGCTGTTACTTAATGTTTGTGTATATGTTACTATTATCTGTTGGGGATTAGTACTAAAAATGTATTACTGAGAAGAGTTTTAAAAAATCATCACTTAAAACTTGCTGTATCTCAAAACCTAGTGAGCTGCATTAGTAGTATTCATGGGCATTATATGCAGGTTCTGAGTTATCTGGGTACAAATATACACAAACAGTCAGCTGACTCAAAACCCACCTCAAAATACTGTCTAGGTAGGCACCTCACTAGGTCACAATGAGACAGGCCTTTTGTGTCACCTGTGTCCACCTTGTTGCTGTGAACAGGAATATGGTGCATCCTGTCAGGAATAGAACCCAAGGGAACATGTCATTCAGTGTACAGTGGTTTGGTCAGCATTATCATTCAAGTAAGCACATCCTTTTGATATGGATAAACACTCAGCGCACTAAATATGGAAGCTGAGCTTGGTTAGAGGTGGTTTGACACAGAAAACCAGTTTTAATGTTTTGGTTTACATGTTGGCTGTGTTGTGTGATGGCTGGTCATGCGGATGAGCCCTCATATGTGGAAATGAGGCTATAAAATCTTCCAGCATATAGTACGATGAAAAGGTGACATTGGATGAAAAATGTATTTCATTATAATATTTTCATTTGGGACCTGTTTGTATTATTCTTGGAGCAGATGAGGAAGCTTAGCTTTATTTTTATAATGTCATACAGTATAATGTTACACGTGTAACATCTACATACAGAATTGTTAGTCTTTTTCAGTTTCAAAACACAGAGGTGAAAGTTTTAGCCATGCCACACTGAAATATTCATGCAGTTACTGTTCTGTGTTACCCATATGTTTGCTGTGTTCAGGCTCAGGTATTATATGACTTCCCCGCTGAGCCTGGCAACAATGAGCTGTCTGTTCAAGAAGGAGAAATACTCACGGTCACTAACCAGGTGAGGATATACTGAGCTTCAGCATCAGCACTAATGTGGACGTCTATGACACGCGGAGTCCCACAAGGATCAATTCTTGCACCGCTCCTGTTTAGCCTGTATATGCTCCCACTAAGTCAAATAATGAGAAAAAAACAAATTGCCTATCACAGCTATGCAGATGACACCCAGATTTACCTAGCCTTATCTCCAAATGACTACAGCCCCATTGACTCCATCTGCCAATGCACTGATGAAACAGTTGGATGTGCCAGAACTTTCTTCAGTTAAAGAAGGAGAAAACTGAAGTCATTGCATTTGGAAACAAAGATGAAGTTCTCAAGGTGAATACATACCTTGACTCTAGGGGTCAAACAACTAAAAATCAAGTGATTCTGGAGACAGACCTTAGTTTCAGTAGTTTTACATATGTATAAAAGCCTACATTAAAATCTGTCCTATAAATTGGTCTCTTCATTAGAAATTGGCCTACTGATTGCCACCATTGATGGACAAATTTTTTTTTATAATATTAAAAATATCTGTATGACATTATATTCTGCAGTTCTTCCCTGTTGTACCGAATATCTATACTTTTCAAATTATCATATCGAAGTTAGAAATTCAAATATTGTGACAAAATTAATTTTGCAGGGTGCCACAAGTTTGTTAAAATTTCCAAAGGGTGCCGCGACTAAAAAAAGGTTGGGAAACACTGGACTATTGTAATGGGCTCCTCACTGGCCTTCCCAAGAAGACTACTAGACAGCTGCAGCTCATCCAGAACGCTGCTGCCAGAATTCTGACAAGAACCAGAAAATCTGAGCATATCACACCAGTCCTCAGGTCTTTACACTGGCTTCCAGTTACATTTAGGATTGATTTTATAGTAGTTTTACTCGTTTATAAATCACTCAATAGCATAGGACCTAAACTTTAAACATTGCAGATATGCTCACTGAATAAATTATAAACCTAACAGACCACTCAGATCATTAGGATCAAGTCAGTTAGAAATACCAAGGAATGAGCACTGTGCAATGTCCGAACTGATTGCACTATATTTTATGTATAATCATTTTCAATTTGTAACTGTTTTAAATTCATTTTAAATCAATTTCTAAATAATTTTAAACGTTTTTAAGTTCTCTGTTTTATTGTTGTGATTTTTTAAATTATTATTTTACTTCCTTTTATGTAAAGCACTTTGAATTACCATTGTGTATGAAATGTGCTATATAAATAAACTTGCCTACCCTAATGTTTCAAGACAGGCACTTGGCTAAAATGTTATATATGCAGTACCATTCAAAAAAATTGGGGTCAGTAAGATTTTTTCATTTATTAAGCTACAATGTATTAAATTGATCAAAGGTGACAGTAAAGACTGCTGTATCACGGTTACCACAAAACATTGTGGAAGCAGCAAATCAGCATATTAGAATGATTTCTGAAGGATCATTTGACTGGAGTAATGATGCTAAAAATATAGCTTTGAAAGCACAGGAATAAATTACATTTTAAAATATTTTCAAATAGAAAACAGTTATT